AGTTCAATCTCTAGTACCAAAAAAAAAAAAAAAAAAAAAAAAAGAAGAAGAAGAAGAAGAAGAACCCCCACACACACCCATTTTTAAGGAAAATTCTGAGAGAGAGAGCCAACAGAATGCCACACGATTTGTTAGAGGAGCTCTGGGCTGGGCTGCAGTGGCCTCTAATAGATATGGAACTGCTCGAGGAGCTGAAAGTCACAATCCAGAGGATGATAGGCAAGAAACTGTTGCTACAACTGTGCATTGCCTTAGTTGTCCCCAAGCACAACCACCTTATCATAGACCGACTGTCATGCCTCTCAGTACTCAAAGAACCAATACTGAATTGTTTGCCTCCTGACCGCCCCTGAGAGCAGGAAAAGAACATTATTCGGCCTCATTTTTCACCTTTCAAATCCCTTAAGTACAACTGCCTAGAACCTCAGCTGCAAGGGAGGCTGGGGATTGTAGTTTTTAGATTTGTAGCCTCTGTAGTAAGAACAGGGGTTGGTATCCAGATCAAGAACACCACCCCAGCCCCAGCCCCAGCCCCAGCGGTACATTCTTCTGAGTCAGAAAACATAAGAAACTTGATTTTCTTACACTTCTGGGGATAAAACTGTTTTATTGTATTTTAAATTTTTTTAGTACTGGAGATTGAATCCAGGAGTGCTCTACCACTGAGCTACATCCTCAGTCCTTTTTATTTTGAGACAGAGTCTCACTATGTTGCTGAGGCTGGCCTTGAACTTGTGATCCTCCTGTTTCAGTCTCCCAGGTCACTGTGTGGGCCACTGTGCCTGGCTTGGAACCCATTTTAAAAATTCAGTCATTGCCTTGATTCACATCCTTCAGTGGCTCCCCTCAGTCATCAAACCAAATAAAAAATTCTTCCTATGACTTATAAGACGCATCATGCCCGGGCACTGTCCACCCCCACTGAGGACACCCTTGCCCAAGCTGAGCTTGACTTCTTGCATCTTCCAGAGCACATTATGCTCTTTACTGGCTCACAACTTTGTACTTACTGTCCCCTCGCTTGGCAAAACACACTCTTCACCAATTGTCGTGTCCTCCTAGGGCATGTACTTAATGTCCCCTCTCTTGGCACAGTCGCCTCTTCATCAATGTCACATTACCCAAGGGAATTTGCTCTTCCTTGGATCAAATGTCCTGGCTACTGCAGAACCCTCCTTGACCCCTCTAGGTGATTCCCGTGCCCTCCTCCGTACAGAACCGCGCACCCAACATGTCTGCCTCGCTGTAGACCCGACTGTCTTCCTGGCCAGCTGTGAACTCCCTGAAGGGCACAAATCACCTCCTTTCAGTTTGGATCCAGTCTAACTGTCCAGAATCTAAGAGGTGTTAAATAAGGTTGGTTGACCCTGGTGCCAGTAATCTCAGCAGCTTGAGAGGCAGAGAGAGGAGGCTCACAAGTTCCAGGCCAGCCTCAGCAATTTGGCAAGGCCCTAAGCAATTTCATGTTGCCAAATCCTGCCTCAATATGAAACATAAAAAGGGCCAGGGATGTGGCTCAGTGGTTTAAGTGCCCCAGTACAAAAATAAATAAATAAATAATATTTGTTAAATGAGAAGAGACTGGAATAGGTGGAAGAAGGAGAGGAGGAGGGAGGAACACAGCGCTTTTCACATTGAGTAGAGGAAGCTAGGGGAGATTGGGAGGGACTTCTGATCACAAGGACATGGCCCTTGACTTTACTGGGGCAGTGGGTTCACCTGTGAGGGCTCTTTATAAATTCAGAGGATGGAGTCTTGGATCAAAGGGTGCTAGGATCTCTGTTTCAAAGTCAACCAGAGGAGACTTCTGCCTTCCCCAGTGTGTTGCTCCTTGAAACCAGCAGGGCCCAGCTGCTGAAGCCACGTGAACTCCCCAACTCCTGGCGCCCGGTGGGAGACACATGTGTGATGTGAACTGGGATTGGGGTTTTGTAACAACTGTGCAAGAGCATTTCTGTGCTCATGATCTCCAACTTGACTAATGATCTCATGATCTCATAATTTGACTAATCTCACATCAAAATCCACGAAGGTCCCGCCATTACAGAACACAATATGAAGATTCCTCAAAAAATTAAAAAGAGCTACCGTATGATATAGCAATTTCAGGATATATACTTGAGATATAGTCAAAGGAAATGAAGCCAGCATATTGAAGTGACATTTGCACTCCCATGTTGCTGCTTTGTTCACAGTAGCAGAGAGACAGTGCTGACCTAAATGTCTACCGGTGGAAGAATGGATAAGGAAAATGTAGTGTAGATACACAATGGAATACTATTCAGCCTTTAAAAAGAAGTATAACCTGTTATTTGCAACAACATGGATGAACCTGGAGAATATTATGTTTCATGAAATAAGCAAGCCACAGAAAGAAGTTCTTATTATATGTGGTATCAGAAAAAAGTCAAACTCATAGGAAACAGGGAATAAAATTGTGGTTATCAGGGATAGGGGCAAGGGCAAGGGATTAGGGAGATGTATGTCAAAGGACACAAAATCTCAGGAGGAGTAAGTTCAGGAGATCTATTCTACATTATGGAGACTAGAGTTAATAGCAATATAGTGTATACCTGGGAATGAATGAGGAATTAGACTTTGAGTGTTCTTACCACACACAAAGCATGATAAGGGATAGGGTGTGGCTCAGTAGTAGGGTGCTTGCTTAGTATGCCAAAGGCCCTGTTCAATATCCAGCACGACAAAATCATCATCATCCTGTGCAAGAGCACAGATGTGAAGTGGTGCTTCCACAGAATGAATATCTTGGTTTAGCCATTCCACAATATGTATAACTATCAAAAAGTATTTTACACTATAAATATATATAATTTTCATTTGCCAGTTAAAAATATTTTATAAAGAAATCAAATCCAACCAGGTACAGTGTGCACATCTGTAATCCCAGCAGTTCAGGAGGCTGAGGCATAGGGATCATGAGTTCAAAGCCAACCACAGCAACTTAGTGAGACCCTAAGCAACTTAACTCTAAATTAAAAAAAATATATAAAAAGGGCTGTGGGTGTGGCTCAGTGGTAAATCTCCAGTTCAAACCCTGTATACAGTTCAATAGTATTACTAAAAAAAAAAAAAAGAAAAGAAAACAAATCCATATCTACAAAAACCCATAAAGACTGTATATGCATGAATGAATATTTGTATGTGTGTGTAAATATATATATATGTGTGTGTGTGTGTGTGTGTGTGTGTGTGTCCATAAACAGAATATTATTCAGCCACACAAAAGAAATACTGATTCTTGCTATGTTATGATTCAATCTTGAAAATATATTAAGTGGAAGAAGCCAGACACAGAAGACCACATATTGTATGATTGCATGCATTATGGAATATCCAGCAGAGGAAACAGAATAGATTAGTAGTTTTCAGGTGCTGGGAGGAGGGGAGGGAAATAGGGAGTGGCTGTCAATGGATATAAGGTTTCTTTGGGAAGTGATGAATGTTATGGAATTACATAGTAGGAGTGGTTGCACAACCTTGTGAATATAGTAATACTATTGGAGTGTATACTCTGAAAGGGTGAATTCTACAGTATGTGAATTATACCTCAAAAAAAAAACTCTGAAGATCATCTTGGTTAAGATTATTGCAGAATTAGCTTCCAAGACAGGTATGGTGGCACATATCTGAAATTCCATCTACTCAGGAGGCTAAGAAAGGAGAATTGCAAGTTGGAAGCCAATCTCAGCAACTTGGGGAGATCCTGTCTAAAAAGAAAAATAAGCAAATAAATAAAAATAAAAAGGACTGAGAATGTAGCTTAGTGGTAAAGCACTCCTGGGTTCAATCTCTAGTACCCACCCCCCTGCAAAAAAAGCTTCCCATGTAATCAATACTGTTGAGGATCAAGTACCATAGAAAGTTCTGAGGCAACTCTGCCTGGTGTGTATCTCCAGGGCTTATAATCCAAACTCAAATCAAAAATAAAAAATACAAAGGAGAAACACTAGCTAAGTAGACTGGTGAGTGAGTCGAGTCCTTGAGAAGATTAATTAAAGGACATGCTACACTTTCTCACTCTAAGATGTGACATGGGCACAGCTTCAGAGGCTCCCTTCAAAAGCTTTTGCCAACAGGGCTAGTTAGTCAGCTTCTCATTACTGCAACAAAATACCTGAAATAATCAACTTATAAGGAGGAAAGTTTTTGTTGTTTTTGTTTTTTTTTTTTGCCTCATAGTTCGGGGGATTTCAGTTCATGATCAATTGGCCCCATTGTTTGGGGCCTGTGCCAAGGCAGCATATCATGGCAAGAGTGTGTGGTAGAGCAAAGCTGTTCATTTCATGATGGCAGGAAGCAAAAGACACTTTCTAACCCCTCCAAGGACATGTCCCAGTGACCTAAAGACCTCCCACTAGGACCCACCTCTTAAAGGTCCCACCACCTCTCAATAGCACCAAGTTGGGGACTAAGCCTTTGAACAACTGGCTTTGAGGGGCATTCCAGAACCAACCTACAGCAAGTGCAGAACCCAAGATATAAGTGCTGAGGAGTCAATGACACAGACATGACACCTTGGCCACAGGGGCTACTAGCAGAAAGCCCACAAATGCAGCAGCAGTGGAGGAGGCGAATCAAAGACTTGCATGCCAAACCAGGAAAAACAAAATACAACGTGGCCAAGAGTCCTGCACTTTATACTTGAAGATTTTTTTCCTTTCCTTTTCTTTCTTTCTTTCTTTCTTTCTTTCTTTCTTTCTTTCTTTCTTTCTTTCTTTCTTTCTTTCTTTCTTTCTAAAGATTTTTGCTTATAGGTAATAAATCAAAAAATACACCCACATTGGGCTGGGTATGTGGCTCACAGGTGGATCACTTGCCTAGCATGTGTGAGGCCATGGATTCCATCCCCAATACCAGAAGAGAAAGAGAGAGGGAGGGAGGGAGGGAGAGAAAGGCAGGCAGGCAGGCAGGCTGACCCACCAAAAGTGTACATGAAATTCTTTTGCTTATCTTGGGAGTTGAAAATGACCTCTCTCTATGCATATTCCATTGCAATGCCTCACAAGACTGCTTTAATGTAAACGAAAACATTACTTTATTTGACAGTGGTTCGTTCAAGCACGCATAAGTGTGACAGGGTGGATGTGATGTCATAGGTAGGTCCCTTCCCTTGCAGCTTTCTCTGTGCAGGGTGAACAGCAGAAGCCCTGTTGGAGGGTTGGCACAAAGCCCATAAGTGGCCAGTAATGGCACCCCCTTCCAGGGTCTGAGAATCTCAGGGTGCCCAAGAGTCACAGCAAAGGGATGTTACAGTGAGGCTCCCTGATGGCCCACCCTACCTGCCTCTATAAGGAAAAATATTAGCAGATGTAGGATAATTGTAGATTGATTCAGCCCAGCAGATACACCTTTAACTGAAAAGAACGCACCTTTTGTTACTCCCAGTCCAGCTCATTGGAATTTGTTGGTCAAAGTGGGATCGATATTTTGAGTAAGGTTTTTAAGAGAACAGCTTGTCTTCTTAAACAACTAGCCAACACTCTTGTGATTAAAAATAGACAAGGGCGCCGGCATTGCCTGGATGTCTGCTTTATTAAAACACTCATGTTCTGTAGACATTTTAGCTCTGAATGCATCTTGGTTTGATAATAGAAATTTTTTTCCAAATTGTTGTGTATGATTCTAGTTTTAATATGTCTGTCAAGTAAAAATTGACAGCTGTCATCATGGAATGAACAATAATAACATTATACTGAATACTGTTGTGCTTAAGGATGTTGGGAAGAGGATCTGTGAGAGGCTAATAAATTACATGTCCTTTATAACATGCTGTCATTCTTAGCCATTGCTTCTTGTAGACTTTAGTCAAAATTTAATAATAGATAGATCCCATCATGTGACAATAGACAGGGAACTGCATTGACTTTACTATGCAATAAGACATTCATCCTGCTTTCTCAGCACACTCTCATGCTCATCATGTGTTAGTAACTGTAAGTTTCTTGTTTTTATAGAAAATAAACATAGATGCCCAGGCTACACTCCAAAATCAGGAAATGGGTATATCTATGAATGAGTCCCTGGGCTCTGGATTTTACAAAGCTTCCTTGGTGATCCTGAAGCACACCCAGGGCCGAGAACCATTGAGAGGGTTGAGAGAAGAGATGGGGAAAGCAAAGGAGGCCTGACAGTCCAGCCCTGAGGGCACAGAAATGCAGAGAAGCCTTGGGGGACTGAAGAGGAGCTGGGGACAACAATGCTTGACCCCTACTTAGGCACGAGGGGACAGCAGGGCAGACTGCACTTTAGGGAAGGGTTATTCTGAGCTAGGGTGGAAGTGCTTGCAGCCTCCATGGAAATTCTACATCTCTTTTTCTGGTAGCCATGATGGCTGCAAGGGTGAGCCAGAAGCTGAGGGTGGAACTTGATCAAAAGAGACAGGGAGGTGGGATGGTTCCCCACAAAGCGCCCAAGGAGGAGCTCTGCTGTGTCCTCAGAATGGTGACCCCACACAAGTAGAGTTGTTCATATTCTCAGGAAAGTGTGAGGGGAGCCCAAGGGGACCTGATGACTTCCTCAGCCTTGCTATCACCCCTGAAGGCCTGACTCAGGCACAGCAACTCAGAGTCACACCATCAAGGTTGTTATTACATTCTCCAGAGCCAGCGCTTGCTGGGGGCAGCCCACCCTGAACTCCCCAAGGACATTGTCACTTGAGAGATCTTCCTTTGGCCCAGACGCAACTGTTGCCCCCTTCTCATCCTCCCACTCGAGCCAATACCTCACACCTTCCTAAGGGACAGAGCAGAGCCAGCAGAGACTCTGGGATCTGGCAAAATGGCTAGTGAGAAAATACCTTCATTTCCTGCCTGACAGATCATCACAAATGTCTCCACTCTGCAGCTCTGGGAGGTAATGGGGGCAAGATCATATTTCAGAAATATTAACCTATGCTTCCTGCATGAGACAACTGGAGCTTCGGTGCCCATTGCCACAGGGGAGGGTGACAGAGGAGAAGCCTAGTCTTGGCCTTGGAGTTTCAAAAGGCTGATCCTCACAGTGGGTAGCAAGAACTCAGGACACAGACTGTGGATTTGGCCGAATATAAATATGATGGGTTAGAGGACCAAGGTCTCCTCTCTCCCCATTGGTAAAGGTTCCATAGGTTGGGATGGGCTGGAGATGGCAGTGGACATTTATGGGGTCCCTAAGAAAAGGGGAAAAGTCTGAAGGGGAAGGGGTATGTATGATAAATACCTCATACAGGTGAGGAGAGTCTAAGGGTAGAAGAGCCTGGTGCCCCGTGTTCCCAGTAGAGTCTGGAAAAAATGGTAAGATGTAGGGTAGAACAGGATACTAGCTGTACAGCTCAGCACATGGGCCTGGAACAGCCTCATAGAGCTTCCAAAACCCAGAGGGATGGAGGGACTGGAGCTAAAATGTCTTGCTTGCCCCAAGCACAGTCAGGCTCCAACAGGCTTTGGGAGTAAGGGAGCACATGGCAATGTCTGTGACTGTGCACACCAATGATCGACCAACTGCCAACAGGGATGTTTCAGCAGGTACTGGCATGGTGGATGCTGCACTGGGGAACAAAGGCTTATGCTACTTAAAGTTTTCCAAACTTAGTCCCAGGAAAAGATGGGAAGAGACTCCAAATTGACTAGATCAATTTCCACCACCTGGTATGGGGTTCATAATAGAAATTGCATTCAGTGTTAGAAACATAGCTATTTCTTACAAGCTCGAGTTTTATAGACTGGGTTTTACCTACCATGTAATAAATTAATAAATATTTTATGATTTTTGTTATAAAGAAAACATTTTTTTAAAAGTCAGTGGAATAACATTCTATGCACAAAAGAAACGCCACTTGCTGCTTTTGTCAATCGTAGACTTTTCCTCCAAGTCTTACATTCAGAAAGCAGAAGGATCTTCAGAAAGTTAGGTTAAACACCTAGCATTTTGAGTGGAATTTATAAAAATTCAAGTTCATGGCTTGTTCTTTTTGCATTTGTGTTTTTGATTGCTCATTTTCAGGGATCCAAATACAAGGTCATCTGTCACTGGTGAGAGATAAGGCATTTTCTGGACTACCATGGAGAGAAGACCCCCACCATCAGACAGTTCTACAAGTAACTGCTGTTCCATTGTGACCCTAGCAGCCCTGAAATGACCACGCCAGGAGGGTAGAAGGGCAGCGGCAAAGTTATAGGGAACCACTAAAGTGGTCCCCATGGGGAAAGAACAGTTGGGTCTCCCAGGTGCGAGCCAAACACAGTCCAGAAGCCCAGGAATCCAGAGCCCTTGAATAAGCCTACAGGCTACTGGCTCACTATCACATCCCAACCAGCCTGATCCAGGTAGGGGAAAGGGATATGAGTGCATATGGGGCATAGATGGCCCTGGGGTAGTCCCAGTGCCTGTGCTTCAGGGACCTCCAGCCTTGACTCAGTTGTTCTCCTTAATTTCATCATCCCACAGTGCACTGGGCATGCCCAAGAACTTTGGGGAGTATAGGCAGGGCAAGGACAATCAGGAAGGCTGGAGAAGCCTGTGAGGAAGAGAGAAGGGAACATAGTGACCAAATAGGGAGGGGAGTTGCCTTCCCAATAGGAGAGTTGTGCCATTCACTGTCAACAGGTGAAAACTGTCCCCCATCCCTCTGCAAACCTCTAGCAAACGTTACAGGGAAAGAGTCTGCGATCACAACAAATTTACCACGGTGAGCACTAGGTGTGAGCACCTTATTTTAAGGGAGCTTAGTTCTTACTGAGGATAGAAATTCCATTTGACAAAGGTTTATTAGCTTGCTTCCCTCCAGGGGTTCTGCTCAGCTATGAGAGGGGCCACTGCCATCTTCATGGTGCCCCAGTCTGAGATCTAGGAAACTAAAAAGTTATAGGGGCTGATCCATGGGGAAAGAACAGGCCGGGGGCAAAGCCTACCTGGAACAGAGCTGACTTGGCAAACAGATGGGGAAAGATGAAATCTGGGTCCCCTGCTCCTTTCCTTGTCTTCAGGGTATGGAAGGTGAGGGGAATAGGAGTGAGGACTCGTCTTCTCAGGCACCGAGGGCATCAATGCCAGCAGGGCTCAGCACCAGCGCCTGAAGGATGTCGGAGAGGGAAACCACGCCCAGGAGATGCTGGGTCTCGTCTACTAGCACCAGCCGGTGTACCTGTGGGTCACATTGTTCAGTGACTAACCAGGCCCCCCCCACCCCATCCCAAACAAGCAGGGGAAACAGTTTGACATAGCTGGGGTGACAAGAGGGTGTCTCCTGGGAACCAGCTGGCAAAGTCTCTGAGCACTCAGTTGACTGGCCCTTGGCAAGAGAACCTCATAGACAGGACCAGGTGCATACCAAGGTGAATGCCAAGAATTGGTCTCGAAATAGGAGGACAGGCCAGGTGTCCACTGTCCAGGGATGGCTGGAGCCCACATGGAAGAACTGGGCCATCTCTATGGGGGCATTCCTGGAGAGGCACAGGGTACCTGTTCTCGAGCAATCCTGTCAATGACTTCTCCCAGGCTCTCGTGGGGCTGGCAGGAAAGGACCCCCTCCAGACACAGTGTCCTCTGTCGCAGGGCTTCTCCCACACTCATGTCTAGGTGGTTGTAGGTTTTCTGGGCAGCCAAATGCTGGGACAGGGAGAGAAAGAGAGTTCCAAGTCACCGCTTTGCTTAGACTCCCACCTCACCTGACAGCACCCCTTACACACTCGTGAAGTGTGTCCACAGATACTCCCCCATCCATCCTCCTACCACAGCCTCCCTACGGCACCCCAAGCCCCACAGACACTTACAATCACATCAAAGCGGGAGTAGAGGCCCACGACCTGACCTACAAGGGGAGAGAGGAGAAAGACAGGGAAGAGGGCCGCATCAGGACCAGTGCAGTGCGGAGGGCCTGGGCCAGGTCTTGGAGTGGACTCCTCCATATCCTCCCATGTTGCAGCTTTATAATGAGGCATCAGGCTGCTCCCTCTGAGCCATGAGTCAGCCTGGCATCACAGAGAGTGAGACCACCTGATCTCCTGCCCCCTGAAGAGATGCAATACGAGAACAGTGCATCACCTACGAAGTGAGTAGTCTAGTCCCCAACGTGTAGGGCCAACTCATCAGGGTTCCAGGAAACTAAAGCAGAGAATAAGGTGAAATCCACCTCTAGGAAGCAAATGGGCAAATCTGGAGAGGAATATTCTCTGGATACCCCATTCAGGCTCTTCAACTCACCTGTGTCAAACAGTCAGGGGAAAGGGAACAGTTCTAGATGTAAAGAGACTTAAGGGACAAAAGACAGAAATGCAAAATCTGGACCTTTAGTTGGATACTGGTTTGAACAAATCAATTGTAAAAGAAAAAAAAATCTTGGGAGAAATTGCAAAATGAGAATAAGTATTGAACATTAGATATAACATTAGTAAATCATTCCTGGTTCTGTTAGGGTAGAAAATTATACTCAGAGACATAATATTGTCTGTAATTTAAAATGCTTTAGAAAAAAAGATGAACTGATTATGGCAATACATTAACAATAGTTAATCCAGGCAACATATATATGGGTTCATTATACAATTTTTTCTTTTCTTTTTTAAACCTTTCTTTTTTGAGAGAGAGAGAGAATTTTTGTTTAATATTTATTTTTTAATTTATCGGCAGACACAACATCTTTGTATGTGGTGCTGAGGATGGAACCCAGGCCACTCACATGCCAGGTGAGCGCTCTACCGCTTGAGCCACATCCCCAGCCCTTCTTTTTTTAATAATTATTTTTTAGTTGTAGTTGGACACAATACCTTTATTTTATCTATCTATTTCTATGTGGTGCTGAGGATCGAACCCAGGGCCTCGCATGCACTAGGCGAGCACTCTACTGCTGAGCCACAGCCCCAGGCCCTAATTACACAATTTTTAAAAATTTATTTGAAATTTTTCCAAGTCAAAAATAAATTAAAAGGAAAGGTAGCAGAATGCAACAGTCACTAATATGCCATTATGTAAAAATGCGAGTATGTAACAGATGTGATTCTGCAATCAGTATTTGGGGTAAAAATGGGAGTTCAAAACCCAATTGAGTCAAATGTATGAAAGATGATATATCATGAGCTCTGTAATGTTTTGAACAATCAATAAAAAAAAATAAAAAATAAATAAATTAAAAAGTAGTTCTTGACAGGCACGATGGCATACACCTGTAATCCCAGCAACTGAGGAAGCTGTGGCAGGAGGATAACAAGTTCAAGGCCAGCCTTGGTAACTTAGAGAGACCTTGTCTCAAAACATAATAAAAATGGATGGCTGGGGATGCAGCTCAGTAGTGGAGCACCTCTGGTTCAAACCCCAGTACTGAAGGGGAAACCAAACCAAACCAAACACTTCTGGATATCTAGCTTTATTATGGTGAATTTTTTTTTGGGGGGGGGGTGCTGGGGAATGAATCCAGGAATACTATACCACTGAACAACATCCCCCGCCCTTTTTATTTTGAGACAGGATCTCATTAAATTGCCCAGGTCAGGTGGGAACTCACGATCCTCCTGCCTCAGCCTCCTGAGTCACTGGGATTACAGGTCTGCACCACCACACCCAACCAAAGAAGAATACTTGTTGTCCCTCTGGTCCTTTCTAAAACAGGAAATTGACTCTGGCTGGGGGCCCAAGATCTCATGGCCCATTTTAAGATGAATGAGACCAAAAAAAAAAAAAAAAAAACCAAAAAACTGGTCCTGCTGTTTCACCTCACTGTGCTGATTTTATTGCAACTAATCTTGTAAATCCTGTGAAGTCAGATGTATGGATATTGTTAAGATTGCCATTTCACAGATAGGAAACTGAAGCAAAGAAAAGTTAAGTGACTGGTCCAAGGCTCAAAGCAGGTGACTTCTACTCCACTCCACCCTGGGCACCCAAGTTGGTGCCACATGGACTCCTGCCACCCTACACCCCACCTCATGTTGTCCCCCCACCCTGCTCTTGCTCTAGTGCAGGTACCAGATTCATTGATCACAGGCAGGGCAGACACACGCCGGTCCACGAAGATGTCCAGTGCCGTAAGGACGGGCGCTGTTTCCAGTACCACAGCCAAATCTCGGAATGTACCGATGCCCAAATCTTGGATAGTGCGGTAGAGGAAGGAGGGCCGGGGCAGCAGGGCACCCTGGTGGGGTGGAGACAGGGTGATGATCAGTGGTCAAGCAGCCCAAGGGGGCTCTGGGTTCCTCCATCTCCCACGTCCAGGCTTGAAGACTTAGCCCCTTGAATCACCTTCCTGTGGCTCCCCCTGCCTCCCCCTGGCCCTGGGCTCACAAAAATGTGCAGGAACTTGAGCAGCCGCTTGTGTGTGAGGATGTAGAGCACCGTGCCAGAGACAGGATCCAGGACTGGAAGGCGATGGATCCGGTTCTTAATGAGGACATAGACGGCTTCGAACAGGCTGCAGAGGTGAGACCAGAGAAGGGGAAGCAGCGTGGGAAGAGACACCTTCTACTCCAGTCCCCGCAGATAGGAAGGAGGATAGGGCACCAAATTGGTCTCATCTGCCTGCTTCCTAGGATGGGTCAGGGGAAGGGGACAGGGCAAGACAGGGGCTCAGGTAGTTGATGGGGAGGCTTACCTGTCATTGGGAGAGATGGAGACCAGAGGCTTGAAGCAGCCTTGGAGGTAGATCTCTGTAGAAAAAGCCAGAGTGAGGCTGAGGGAGTGGCCACTGCCTCGCCTGCAGCTGGACCCTTTTCTTCCCCCAGGCACCTACAGTACACAGTTTCCTCCCTATGGCTTGCACCCTGCAGGAAATCCTCTGAGCTGGCCCTCCCTCTGCCCCAGGCCCTGGGCCCCACCCTTAACCCCACAGCCCCTCTCCCCACTCACCCCTCCAAGTCTCGATTTTATGTTCTTCAATCTCATAGATCTGGACCTAGAGGCATCGGCAGGATTCTGGTTTCAGATGTGGACTTGGCAGGCACCAGGCTCCCTAAAGACCCCCTTCCACCCCAATACTACTGGCACCCAGGGCTCCCGGCTGCTCCTTACCAGGGGGGACCTGTAGTATCTGTGAAGCACCAGGATGAAGTCTGTGATGGTGAGCATCCCTACGGGCAGGCGGGACACAGGGGGGACCATAAGCTTTCTGTCCTTGGGTGTGAGGAGGGTTAAAGGTGCCACTCTCCCAGCGCCCTTGCCATTCCTCACCCCCCCTCTCCTCACCCACAAAACTTTGCTTCTTGCTGTCCCATAGAGGTGCTGCCCGCACACCATTGGCCACCAGGGCAAAGAAGGCCTTCTTGATCTGAAGGATGGGACAGAACAGTGGAAGGGTGAGTCCCAAGAGGCCCTCATACTCCCCTCTTGCTGCCCTTCAGTGGCCACTCCCCTGTCCACCTGCTGTCCTCTTTGCTGTTCCCACCAGAGTCCTTCCTTGGGATCTTCTCCCAGGTTCTCCTCCACAGGAGCCTGCCTGTCTTTCCCATGTCATGGCACACACTAGACCAGATCCCACTTGGGCACATTTACAATTATAGACAAGGCTGCTTGTGGCGGGAGGTACAGGAAGACCCTCAGCAGTTACAGCAGGTTAGAAGCCCTAATTCAGAGTCTCCACTTGGAAATCATGCATGTACAGACACAAGCATAATTTTTTACTAATCTAAATAAGTACTAGAGATAGAATTATTTACATAATATTTACATAGTTTTTGTCTCTGAATAAACTATAAATTGACTCATATTAAACAATACACTCTGTACATGCTGGTTGTATTTTTCTAATACACATTAAAATAAATACAAAGCTACTGAAATGAAAGTATTTGTTTATGAACTACTAGAACCAAATTGTGTACTGTAGGTGACATACAAACCATGCTTTAAGCATTTTACATATACTACCTGCTCATTTATACCAGTAATAAGAACAGAACCACAGCCAGGCGTGGTGGTGCACGCCTGTAATCCCAGTGGCTCGGGAGGCTGAGGCAGAAGAATCATGAGTTAAAAACCAGCCTTAGCAAAAGTGCTAAGGTGCTAAGCAACTCAGTGAGACCCTGTCTCTAAATAAAATACAAAATAGGGCTGGGGATGTGGCTCAGTGGTTGAGTGCCCCTGAGTTCAATCCCCAGTACCAAAAAACAAAACAAAACAAAACAGAACCACAGACATTTGGTAGCTTAATCTAATGAAAGACCAGGTACCAGAGATCTTCTAATTTTTTCTGTTACCAAGAGTCTCCTGCTCTTCTTTCCTAAGCAACTCTGCAATGTCTTAGACATACTTCAAAGTTTGTTTTCACTTTGTACTGGGTTGTCCTGATACTCTGAAACACAGGGGGCAAAGCAGGCTTTCTGATCTCCATTTTCAAGATAATGGAGGTAAATTGATCAACGCAAAGTTTTGTAGATAGTGAAATTGCAGAGATGGGATGATGGGATGCTCCCAAAGAACAGAATCCCTCCCTCTCCCCACTGGGCTCCGTGGTGCTAAGGAGCTCTTGAAGGGGACTTGGCAGGGCATGCTGGAGGGCATGAATGGTGGTGGCAAGATGGCGTTGAGCATGGAGATCGAGCTCTGGTGTGGCAAGCTGGGTCTCACCTCCAGCGTGGTGTCAAAGATGACCAGCTTGGAGCTGGTTGCCATGGCATCATAGCAGGTGTGCTCCTGCATGAAGTGCATGTAGACCTGGGCCCCAGGCTTCTGCAGCTCGTCCTCCCAGCCCAGGCTGAGTAATGGAGCCTGTGGCGATGGGCATGGGGCAGGCCTCTCTTCCCCAGGGCCTTCAAGTTCAAAGCCCCAGGCTTCTGGGGCTGGGAACTCAATGGCCACCTCCAGATCATCTGTGCTGGAGCTGGCGGCTGAGGCTGCAGAGTGCTGGGGGAAGAGTTCCCACCCTGTGGGCTTGGTGCCCACCCGGGCCAAGGGAGCAGCTTTGGCCAAGGGTGTGGCTTCTGGGAATGTGGCCTCCAGCCCGGTGGACTCAGCAGCTGGCCTGGAAGGGGGACCTGATGGGAAGAGAAGGAGGGTAAGATAATAGCTCCATCTTCAAGCACGTTCTCATCAGCTCTCAGTGACCTCGTGGCAGCCTTGGGAAGCTTGGATGCTGTGACTTCACAGTGCAGTGGAGGACCCAAGTCACCCAGGTAGCTGCTCTGTCTGTGGGTCCTAGCTGGCCATAGGGCCCTTGGCTCTGCCCTGAAGTTGTTCTCTCCCGTGTGGGGAGACAGAAGTCACAAGATGAGGATTGGGCCCAACTCGGTGTTAGGAAGGGATCCACGGCAGTCCCGCCACCCAGGCTCTGGGCTTCCCACTGCCCTGGCTCCCACCTCTCCAGAACTGGCCTTGGCCTTACCTTCTTCCAGATCCAGTGGTTCTCCTTCCTCCACAGCCTCCTGCCTCGTCCATCTTGATGCCTTGCCCCCCCGTTTCCCATGGATTATTTCTGAACTGGTGGTCGTGGCTGGTGAAGGCCATGAGGAACTGTCTCCTTGCTCTAGGAAGCTCATCTCTGGAAGGGAGAACAGGGCCTGTTTGGTTAAGTGGGCAGTACAACAAAATCAGTTAAAATGTTGTTAATAACACTATTGGCAAACTTCCAGGGGGCTTTTTCTCCATCATATTTCTTATTCTATGCTCATCATATATAAGGGAGGCATTATTATCATCCCTATTTTACGTGCAAGGGACCAGAAATTCAGAGAGGTTAAGCAATTTGCCACAATCACACAACTAGGAGGTGGTAGAGTCAGGAGTGGGGTTCAGGAGATGAGAGAAACACACTATGCAGAGGAGGAAGAAGGAACCTCTCCCAACAAAATTCAGGCTAGGGGCTGGGAATTGGCATACCAGAAATATGGGGGACAAAGGAAGTGGGAGAGGATGCAGACCCACAGAAATCGGGCAGTCTACCTACCTTGATGCTCAGGCTCCCCTAGGCTGCTCCAGGACAGGGTCTATGGGGAGAAGAATGTCTGAAGGGGTGGGAAAAACACCTCGGGTTCCCGAACCCCAGGTCTTCTTCCCTCTCACTGTACACATAGGCACACACACATACACACACACACAAACACACACAGAAACATCCAACCACTCCTAGACACACACAGGACTTATACACACTCACACACTATGTATATACACAGGCACCAACATACTCACACAAACAGAGAAAGTGTAGACCAAACAGCACACACGCACACACACCACACATACACACACACATTCACACGCGGTGCCCTCTGTGCTCTCGATCCTCGGGCCCAGCTGCCCCGGTGCCAGCCCCACTGGGACCCCAGTACCCTGCGCAGTGCGTGCTCCAGCTCGGGCTCCATGCAGCAGGCCCCAACCAACCATGAGCAAGTGCCGACTCCCGGGCTGGGCAGCACTATTCTGGGCCCGGCCTCTGGCGCCCTGCCTTGCCGGGATCGGTTTCTCTGATTGGGTGTCAGGCAGCTGGGAGGGAGCGGGCCACCCGCAGCTGCTCCAGCACAGGAGCCTGGGGGCGGGCTGGGGAGGCGAGGGGCGAACCTGCGAGTCTTGGTGCCTGGTCTTTGGTGGCCTCCAGGTCTCCCAGGACAAGCTAGATAGACCCTGCTGCTGAGTAAGCGGCTTGGCACATTGTGGGGGCATGAGCACTAGGAGAAAGTTGGGTTCTTGCAGTCCCAGGGCCCCGCTCAGCTTTATCAGGCACCAAAGTACTGAAAGTGGAGGCTGTTGAGCTTAACTTTCTTCCCAGTACAAATTTTGGTGGGGGTGATGCTGGCTTAGAAAGAACCAGTGGAGGCCACTGTGCAGGCTGGGGATAAGGCAGGGAGCTCAGGGGTGATCCCGGCAGAGCAGCCGGTCTATGCCATGATGCCCTCCATTTGAGTCTGGGATCCTCTCCTTCTCTCAGGTGGAGGAGGTGGAGTGGGTGGGTCAGGCAGGTGGGGAGCTACGCAGGCCACCTCCCAGGCTTGAGGTGGGCTTCAGGGCTTGGGGCCCAGGCTTGTCCACAGAGGGAAGCACCTGTCGGTGTCTTCCTGTGATTAGGAGATGTCTGGGTGTTCCGGAGCCCCAGCCCCCACGGCTGTGTGTACTGTCCCTATCTCTCCTGGTGCCAACGGAATCCCAGCCTGGCTCTGGTGGCTGCCCACCCCCTTCCTTGGCATTCCAGGAGCCTGAGTCAGCGTCCAAATCAGGAAAGCTGACCCAGCTGCTCCTGCTCCCTTCTCACTCCCCCTCCCTTCCTCCTTCCAGCCTCTTCCATCCCAGTCCTTGGCTCAGGAGTGGACATTCAGAAATGGACTACTGGATTTCTTGCTGAATTTGTTAAGCATATTTCCCTCCCTCCCTAGGAGCACCTGCACTGTCTGCGGGGAGGGTGGAGGAGAACAGAGCAAGAAGGGGACTTTACCTTTTCTTGTGGGTCTCAAATAGCACAGGATCCCTGGAGCCTGTCTCTCTGTGGTTCCTGATGGTGGAAACTTCCAAGGCACAGCTAATGGGGACATCTCATACAATGGACAGACCACCAGCATATGATCTATCAAGGCATCACAGATGACAGATATTCCCTGTACTTTGCAGAAATGCAACAATGGTCCACAGCTCACCAGCAGGCAATATTTATCCTTGTCTCATGTTCAATCTCTAATCCTCTGACACTTATTTTAGGATTTTAAGCAGTACCATTTCCAAATATCAAATTCTGCATTAGTTTGCAGACTGAGAAGCTGATAGAATGGTTCTTCCAAGCATCTTCCATCTTGGGCACAACATGGCCACTCTAGCTCTTAGTGTTACATGAGCATTCCAAGTAGGAAAGGGGGAACTTTTTCTTTTATGCCTAACCTGGAAGTTGCTACCATTATTTACACTCACATTGCATTGGCTGAATTTGGTCAGTTCAAGAGATGTTGAGAATCAAAGTCTTTATTATGGTCAGCTGTGTCAGGCAGTCTTTCATTCCTGTGTCAAAATACCTGAGAAAAACAACTTAAAGGAGGAAAGATTCATTTTGGCTGATGGTTTCAGAGCATTGTCAGATGATGCTGTTGTTTCATGGCCTGTGGTGAGGCAGAGCATCATGGTGGTTAGGAAAGAGAAAAAGAGAGAAAGAGAGAGAGAGAGCGGATGGGGGGAAGGGGCTGGGAACAAGATGTAGTCCCCAACAGCACACTCCAAGGGACCACTCTCTTTGGCTATCTCCTACAGTCTCCACCACCTCCCAATAGTCCGTTCAGCTGTGAATCCACCAATGGATTAATCCAGTGATGATGTCAGAGTCCTTCTGATTCAATCACTTCCCAAAGCTCTGCTGCTGAACATTGCTGCATTGGAGATCAAGCCTTCAATATATGGGCCTTAGTGAAACATTCCAGATGCAGATCCAAACTGTAACAGCAGCCCTTTCAGCTGAAACTCAAGCCATTTTATTACTAAAGAAAAAAAGAAACAGACGTTAGGAGGCAACTGGCAGTCTCTGTTACAGAAGCTATTGAAGAAAACACGTGGGTGTAAAAGAAACTCCCTTTTCATGATTTTCATCTTCATGCTCATAGGAAAAGACTCAGAGAAATCAAGCAAAATTTCCCAAGGTCATTGGCAAGCAAAGGACTGAGCCTAAGCTGGAATCAGGTCTGTCTGTCCCCCAAACAGACTTTTCATCACATCCAGCCAACATATTTTGGCCGTCAAGGGGCCCACAGTTGAACTGGAGATGAATAACGTTTGCTTGTGAAACAGCTGGGTGAATGCCAGCTCAACTCTACTGAGATGGACACACACTGTAAGGAAATGCAACTTGGATAATAGTCAGGGAAGACTTCCCGGAAGAGGAGGCCCTGCTTCTGACCCTGCAGGAAGTAGCACAGAGAATGGAGCATGGCAGTGGTGTGAGCTGAGTCTGCTCTGTGCCTGTGAAGGTGACTCAGAGCACAAGGGGGCAGTGGGCAGAAGCTGGAGGTGTGGGCTCTCTGGGTCCACTGCATCGTGTGTCCTTGTGGATGGTTCAGAGAACCTGTTAACTCATGGAAACTGGTAGGAAACACTGAGACCACTGGTGCATGTTGGCTGTAACTTACTGCTTCTAGCAAAGTTCTACAAGAGCTGGCACTAGGGCTACCTATAAGATATGGTTTGGAAGAAGGTGGTACCTGGGCTCCCAGCCCATTCTTGAGCCCATCCTTTTCAGCAGACAATGGGAACCAGCTCAGTGGGCAGACATCAGAAGAAGGGAGTTTCCTTTACACCCTCGTGTGTTTTCTCCAATAGCTTTAAGATTGCCACCTCCTTAGAGAGAATAAGAATATAGATCCAGAGTACCCTTGCAATAAATATTTGAACCCAATGATAGAAGATGCAGGACCTCCCCAATCCTACCATGACCTGCCTACCTATCTCTGTCAGTTTTGTGTCACTATAACAGAATACCACAAACTAGGTAATTTACAAAGAAAAGAAATTTATTTCATACAAGATCAAGGGTCTGCATCTGGCAGGGCCCTTTTGCTACATCATCCTGTGGCAGAAGGCAAAAGGCAAAAGAGCCTGCATGGAGAGAGAAAAAGAGAGGGCAATCTGTTCATAACAGATCCACTCTTGAGCAAATGTTTTCCACTCCATGAAAACAGCATTGATCCATTCCTGAGGCCAGAGCCCTCATGACCTTACCACCTCTTAGAGGCAGCATATCTAACACTGTTATTTTGGAGATAAGTTTCCAACATAGGGTATAAATATGTCAAACTAAACTCTACTGTCATCTATAACTAAGAAGAACATTTAAAAATATTTCCGACATATGAACTTTTGGGAGACACATTCAGATCATAATCCTCCCCCACCCCCACCTACTTCTGGACTGTTATGTTAAAAATAAACTTCTGTCTTGTGTAAGCCACTGACAAGTGGGACCTTTGCTGTAGCATCTTTCTCTAATTAATACATTTACACTGCAGGATTGGTGTAGCACTAGAATTTACATATGTAGATCTCTTGTTTATAGAGAACACTGAACACATCCTAAGCAGTATCCCACAAAATCCCTTGCAACATTGTGAAATAATGATTTTATTACTGTGGTTTTACAGATGAGAAAACCGAGGCATAAATAGATTGAAGTAACTTGATCAAAGTATCAAAGCTAGTGAGATGAATCCAAGAATCAGATCCAGGGTTTCTGAACTCCAGTGCCCATAAGTAACCACTGAACTTTAGGGGGAGCACAGGCTTGGCATGTAATATGTGCTCAGTAAGTGGTTACTATTATTATTACCTTGCCACCTGCTCCCAGTGACCCCAGACCTCCACTTCAGAGGTTCCAAAGGTAGGCAGGCACGGGAGGGCTTCAGCACCTTAGAGGTCATCTCAATCTCACACTGCCATCAGAGTCGGAGGTGTGCTCCGGCTGGAGTCAGACATCAGTGCTGCTTAGCACTGAGACCAGAATGATTTGCTAGTTTAAAGAGAGTGCTCCTTCCTGCCCCTGCCCTGCCCCTGCCCTGACTGTGCCCAATTCCTGCCCTGCCCCTGCCCTGCCCCTGCCCTTTGCCTCTCCATCTCCCACACCTGCTCACTGCCAGCCCAACTCCCACCTGTCGCCTCTGGCAAGGCAAATCGGCAGAACATACTGGCCTCGGTTGGAAATGTATACTTCTTGGGTGATTGATTTTAACCTCTGGTCATGATATTATGTTTCTTGAAATCCTGCTTCATGACTGCCTCACAGACTGTGTGGATAATAAAGACCCTGCACCCTGACTCTAGGGTGAGTTTGGCTGCCACCTCTGGAGAGCCGATTTGATAGTACATGGAGTTGGGGATCCTGTTTAAGCGTTATTTTTATATCAGAGGGAGAAAAACAGCTTGAGGAGGCCAAGGGAGTAGCCCGGACGAAACCATGTACTGACAAATCACAGATGAGGTCCCCTTCTGCCAGAGCAGTTGAGAGGCTGTGAGAGTAGCCTTTGTTCAGTGGCCCAGACACATCAGCTCATCCTTCCTGGGGGTGCTGGACACAGCAGCATGTGTGGACTGGACAGAACCAGCACCTTGGTGACAGTTCCATTGGTCCACAGGCCCATTGCTGAGCTTTTCCTGTGAGCTGCTGGGGATGGTAGTGCCCAGATAGTACTTTTGCCTCCCCGCCCCCCCCACCCCGCCACAGTATCCTTTTGCCCCTTTTTTGGCACACCTCCAAGATTTTCTTCAGAAAACCCCAAATTCCCTGATCTCAGAGCACTTGATTTTTGGAGGGCTCAGCTATGGGTGGGTTCCAAGAAGAAGACCTCCAATTCAGACTTAGCTCATCCCACACTTAGTACCTCTGGCCACAGTAAGTGGGGCATTGGCAGAATTAGTCAAATAAGGGTAAATCCTGGGACTTTTGCTGGAATTAATAGGAACTCTTTTCAACAGGTGAAGTAGAAGGATATAGTGAGGAGAATCTGGGGGCTAATATGGAGAGCGGGGCAGATAATAAAGACCAATCCACAGGCAAGAATCATGATACGATGGGGAAAGACAGATCCTCCTGGCATTCATTGCATCCTTGGATTAAATTGTACCTGAAGACCTACTGCTGGGCTTTTTCAATTACATAAACCAATAGAAACGTTTGATTATTGGTTGGTTTAAAGAAATTGGAAGTGTGTCATTGGTCATTTTCAGATGAAAGTGTTATAACCAAGAAATAGTGCCCATTTGAGAAAGCAATTAGAGTAAATCAGAAGGTTGTCACGGGAACTTTTACAAGGTGCTTGAAGAAAATAGAATAAAAGGAAGATTGAAATGGAACAAGGTTATTGAAGGAAGACTTTACATAAAGAAGGTGAGTTTGGGCATAGAAACAATAATAAATATTTACTGAGCTGTAAATAGTGTATCTTCATACTTTAAATGAGTTGGAAAGAGTTCCTATGAATTCCAGTATAAGTGCCAGGATTCACCCTTATTTGACTAATTCTGCCAATGCTCCACTCACTGTGGCCAGAAGCACTAAATGTGTGCTGGATACCAGGTTAAGCAGTTTACATATGTGATGGAAGAGTATTTAAAAATAGGAACAAAATTGGGAAGTGGGTACTTTCTTCTAACCTATTGATTTTTCTCATTCAAACTGGAACGTCTTAGTTTATTGTCTCCAGAAAGAAATAGTACAGTGCAGAGGAGCACCTTCTGGCTTGTGCATTTCTGAGGTCTTCTGGAAGAAATGGAAAACCTTTGATGTAAAATATTTTGGAGTTGGGGAAGATTAGGTTATTCAGAAAACATGTTCCACTAGGAATAAAAAAAAGACTGGATAAAATATAAAGAGCATTTTCTAAAATAAGATAAGGGCCAACTGAAAGAACGTTAGTGAGAAGTGACTTTTGCTCTAGGGCATCTGCCAATTTTAGCAAGAGCCATTAGATGGGGGTCCAGCAACCCATGCAAGTTGAGAGAAGAGACTCCATCTGTAGAAAGCAGTTATCTCAAAAGGATTGCACCCTCAGAGCAAGTGCATCCGGAAGCAAACTAGCTTTTATGTCCAGACAATATTAAACCTTGAACTTGATGTAAAGTGGGACTGAATCAGTA